AATTTAGTTGCCCTGTACAGTACATAACAAGTATGTGGATGCTGGAGGTATGACGAGGTCATACCTCTTTTTGTTGGCAACAGTTTGGTGAAAACTGTTCACTTGTCAGGGGATGGCTTGTTTACAAATTTCGATCCCGAGGAGTTGGGATTCTTTTTGTCCAGTCGAGTGGAGGAGGTGAGAGGGGCCGTCGATAAGGCGTAGGTGATATGCGAGTAAATGACACCATTTAACAATGGAAACAGTGATTTATTAGATTAACGAAAATTAACAATTACAAACTCTAACATCTAAAGAAATTTACTTGGTTTGCTAGCTCCTAGCTTGCGGAGAGAGAGTTTACATTAAATGCTCCATACCTCTAGTATACTTCCACTTAGAAGAGAAAAATTTAGTGTCCTTTTTTCTTGTGATTGACGCACAAAGTTATAAATCCTCCAAGACTTAATCCGTTCTGACCAGCTGTAGATGAGAGACTCCCCCAAAGAGGGAGAAAGAAGTTGCTTTTGTAGCTTCGGGCTGGGAAAATTAGTCATGTGATTAACTATTGTGGGAGCTAAGGTTGGTCTTGCAGGTGTGAAAGTTAAAGTTGTTCCCGGGACCAAAACAAAATGATGAATTCGGACTTTAACTGTAAACTTTTTGTCTTGCAGCAGAAGAATGTCATTGTTCGAGGGTCGAATGTTTACATTAAAGAGGAGAGCTATAAGTTTCTATCCATATTTGATTCTTTTTTCACAATGTTATATTAACAAGGAGGCGACAAATGTATTGCAAATATGTCAAAAGTTTAGGTTTACACTGAGGTCGGATCTCACAAGTATCTTTGTTCAAAGTTATACTTTAGCACTGCCATAGAAGAAAATTTACAAATTAAAATGAAATTAATTTAAAGAAATTTTTCTTGTGTAAATATTGTATTTATATACTAATGTGGTGTATATAAAAATTCATTTAAATACAAATATTTAAATTAAAAATGTTCATGCACATCTTTCTTATTTAAATTTCTTTTTGGTTCTGTCAACAATTAAAACAATAGTGTAAGTATCACTTTAAGATTAATGGTATGAAATAAAGGCTTATTCACAATGAAAATTAAACTTAAACATAAAACCATGTATTTGTTATTTAATGCAACCATTTACAATGAGTTACATAAGTGTAACCTTAAACTTTTAATCATAAGACATATATAAAATATTATTTATGTTAATACTAATGCTATTAACATAAATAAATAGCTTTTGCAAACATTAAACTTTACAAATGTGAAGTTTTTGTTTTTTATATGATTTAAAACAAGAAACAATCATAGTTATGGAATTTCCATTGATGAATTTTTCTCTAGTTCAATGCATGAATTCCTTATCACCTGTTGTTTACTTTTAAGTTTTCTGATGCAAAACACCTAAAATATATGCTTTGGCATTGTGAGGTTAGCAGTGGGCCACTGGGCTCATTCCAAATGACCACTTACTCTGCAACAGGTTGGTAAAACCCGTTCTCGGCTAGTCGGATGGCTAGGAGGGCAAAAATTTGAGTGGGGAGTGCGTCGGTAAGTCGGCAGGTGTCCTTCAGAGACAGGAGACAGGTTTAAAAACAAAACAAGCATTTATTTATATAACTAAGCTAGGATACATAGGTTAAATGCGATTAAATAAATTCACTGTACAAAAGGGACGCTCTAATAGCTTTACCTGCTAGTCTGAGAGAGAGTTCACAAAGCTCTAAAAAGTACAGATACCTGTATGCCGATATGTCTAAAATGCGTTCGTTGAATATGTTCGTTAATGGCGATGGAAGTTCAAACGGCTGTGGTTGGTCGTATGTCCTTTCGGTCCGGAGTATGGAGACAAATATGGCACATCTACCAAGTATAACTTCCGAGGGATCGCCCTGAGCTTCCGGGGACTCGAGCTTTTATACGTTATTCGTGGGAAATGAGTCACGTGATCGACTTCAGTTGACACTTACGGTGCATTCCGATCAACTAACTGTCAACTTTCCCATCATAATGTGAAAACAATCGGTGACCTCCGATATACTTCTCACCAAGAGTGGGTTTTTCCATCGGAGCGGATTTCACAGCATTATACAAGGGCAGTTTTTTTCAAGCTCCGATGGTTCATAAAACAAAGACAAGTGTAAATAACATAATGAATTTATTACCAAAAGTTAGGTACAAACATGGTTACTTTTCAACATAATCACTGTGAAGATTGAGGAATTTGTCTATTTGTGGATGAGATTTTCCATCCCCTTGTCATAGAATGTTGCCACCAGTGAATTGAGATGGCCTTAACAATGTTGTTTTGAAGATCATCATTAGTCTTAAACCGCTGCCCTGCTAGCCATGTTTTCAGTTCAGGAAAGAGGTGGAAGTCTTCACACATTAAAAAGTTTTAAGCTGGGTGTTTTATGCATGCATATGCATACACACACAAAAGTGTGTATAAAAAATAGAAAGCCTACAAATATAATTTCTTAAAGTTTAAATAAACTACTTATAATACAACACCAAGAGCAAGCAATCTACTAATAATTTTTTTATTTCTTTTTATTGATTTTTAACATAATTTTACTACTTTCATAATTTTGAATTAATTTTTACTATATAATGTTACAATTACATTTGCTATTCCAATAATGTATAACAGAATTTTTAAATTTCTATCAAATATATAGTACTGTATATGCAAATTATACTTTTTTAAGTAGCCTATTAAATCAAAAATGAAGAATTAAATAAATCTGTAATACTAACTTTTTATTTTTAGTTTGGATATTTTAAATTTAATTACTTATGTGATATTTTAAAATTATTGAGAATAATTAACACAGTTGTATTATTAAATATTTTTATTATGCTACTTTAACTATATTTTCGATTGCAAATCGATTTCTTATAGCACAGATAATAAATATGATAAAATCCAGTTTCATAGTTTACAATGGATTTCATCAGATTACAATTTTATAAATCATATTTACACTTTATTATTTGTGTGACATTTTAATAGAAAATAATTTTCAGCTATACAAAAGTGATCAGAGTTATTGCATCAACTTGACTCTGTTTATAATTTATTTTATAAATCTTACAAGCATTTTTATTTGTTTTTATAAACGTTAAAATTTTAAAAAATTTCTTCATGATCAAAATATTCAATAAAAAAAACTTTGAAGAAGAATAATTTTTTTAAATGAAATTCTATATTTTTTTACCTCAGTTAAAATTTAAAAATTTTTACCTCATTATATTGATAATTAAGGTTTATCTGAACAATAATTGTAATAGCAAGTTTCTGCCAAAAAGTTAACTGAAATATTCAGAATATTTTGTTGGTTGCTTAAATATTGCATTAAGTATTCAAAACTTGGAAATTAACTAAGAAACTTTTGATTTAAAAAAATGAATACAGGAATATATTTATTTTTTATACACACATTTCTTATGAATTTGTCATGAAAGATAATTATGATCTTAATTTATCACCATAAATTGCTTAATCATTTCTAAGTGATGATTTATAAAATGTTTGAAATTTTATCTAAAACTGTATGTATATTAACTGCTGTGATGATATATAAATTTTATAAAATAATGTGGTGTTTTTATAAAATAAATATTAATAAATTTAATTCCAAAATTTGAGATGTTTGAGATACCAATATATTAAAAATTGAATATTTTAAATTATTCTTTTTTATATCAGCAATTCAGTGGATACTTATTTCAGTTAATTGCAAATAAGATTTTTATATACAGTAGTAGCAATTCTAATAACCAATATATTAAATTCTGTTTGTTTATTTTTTTTGTTTACATTTGTAGAAATTTGCTTTATTACAATTAAATATGATAATTTATTTTAATAAATTCATAATATCCAACTATTCAAATGATGATAAACATTTATAACAACGATGACATAATAGCAATGCAAATGGTAATTTACACTCTTTTTGTTTAATTTTTATTGTATTTATTTAATATGTAATTGTTGTTCATGTATTTAATTTGATGAAATAATCTTGATTTTTTAGTTACAAATTCATTAAATTATATAAATATTAAATGCTATTTTTATTAACAAATTACAAATTTACATTGATTTATTATTATTAAATTTATAATCTATAAGGAATGCTGTATTAATATAATTAAATTTTAAAGAAAAATATTACTTAACATTTCATGTGTTAATTTTAACCTTGTAATGATTATTTAAATTTTTACATACACTATATTAAGTACCTATATATTTTTATTTCAATGTAGACTAATGTAAAAACTTGTGTTTATTTGATTAAAAAATAAAATAAAATGATCTACAAAATCATTAAAAAGATAATGTATTCCTATATATCAACAAAGGAAAGAATTTATACATAAAATATATATATATGTATTATATACATCTGTAGTGCCTTAGAGTAGGTGAATGCTATTAGCGATGGTTAAAGAAAATTGAATTATATTAAAAATAATAAAATGAATAATTTTAAATTGATAATTTTAGAAATGGAAATATACAATATGGTAATAATCAAAAATTAAGTGGTATACACTTCTAATTTTTTTTTCATTTCATCTTTGTATGACAAGTTTAATTTTTACATTTTATGCACCTTATAAACAAAATACAAGATGATCAATGAGGATAATATCACAGACACAATAATGGAGTTCAGTTTGTATGATACATTAGAAAGTGATACTATAGTAAATATATAGTAAATATTGAAAACAAAGATGCCTGTGAAATAACAAGAAAATATTTTACTGTAAAATAGTCATAATATTATTTTTTTGTGTTCCCATCCTGTACATATCTTAGAGCTCTTTCCTCCAATATTTTGTGGCCCCTTTATGAATATTGATGTGAAAAAATATATTTCCTGAACTTCATATTATAAAATGCTTATTTTTTATGTTTGATAGGAACTTATTTGCTACTTCTAATCCACTCATCAATGATTTCTATGAGGATGGAATTGCTAAATATCTTAGATTGTATGCAGAGAGGGTGTAATGGTTACTGGTATTTCTGCTAATGGCGTCTTTTCCAATGATTTTTCTTCCAGAGTTTGTTCTGGTTTGATGCGGGGAGTAATTCCACTGATGAGACGCTAAATATGAAATTATAACATAATTATTAGTTTTCCTCATATTTTTTATTATTAAAGTGTTTGTTTTAGATAAATTTTATTTAATAATTAAATCAAATTATTTTGTATTGAATAATGTAGTAATCATATTAATTATTCTCTAACTAAATACTATTCCAAATAAATTGAAAGAGTAATAATAATTCACATGTTTGTGTATAAATTCCTAATCCAAAAAAATAATTAAACATAATAGTTTTAATATTAATTTCCAGAAACATATTTTAAGTAAGTGTTGAATTTCTTTGCTTTTATTTTACACTCAGTATTATACTGGATGTTCAGAAAATAATGCATCTTAGAAGCACCTGACATTGCAAGAATGCTGTCCAGTAAAGCACTGATGATGTCAGTGCTCTGGACAGCATTTTTAATGTTGTTAGACAATCCTAGGGTGTACAGTACCTGATAACATTAACCTGATGGATGGTCTCATGTACAGTACAGTGCTTACTGTCTGTGATAGGTTTGCAGATTGTATGGTTGCGATGTGCTTTCAGATTTAATTCCTGATGTCGATTTTCAAAAATTACTAATAAAACTACACTGTACTGTACATCGCAAAGCATCCATTGTTATGGCAATGATGCAAATAACTGAGTCTGCAGCAGTAATATTTTGTTACTCCAGACAAATATTTAATGTCAGTTTAGCAGATAGTGTGTGACAGAATGAGATATATGAAGGCAGAGATAAGTGAGATGTTACAACTTTTACCTTCAGGAATGCAGCACAAGGGATGTCACAACATGATTCCATGCATTGCTTTTCAGTTTACTCTGTCCCCAGCATACTACAATCTTAAGAATGGTACTAAATTTTGATGCTTAAATTACTTTGTGTGCCATGATATCACTGGTGGCCCAGGAATTGTATGATGGACAATGAAACTACAACATTATAACCACATTCATAGTAAACCTAATTACTTCCATTTTCTATGTGGCTCTGGAGGCAGGAATTGGGTCAACCTCTCAAAAGATTCTGTTATCATCTACACAAATCCCAATTCATCAATAGGTTCTTTCTGAAGACTACAAGGCAAGGATAAATTTTGCAAAAATGTTTTTGGATCTTGGAAACAGAGACTCTTCCATTCCCAGGCAAATTTGCTTAATGGATGAAGTGTCCTTTTTGTTTGTGGTGAGGTAAACTCCAATAACATGAGCTACTGGGATCAGAAAAATCTGCATTGCTTGTGAGTGAAGTACACTCAATGTCAACAGTGTGTTGACTAAGGAATTCTTGTGCCACTTTTTATTGAGGCATCCTCAACTCACAAAAGTATTTGGAGTTCTTAGTAGAGCATGTGTTGACTATTGCTTGTAGGTGTAGCTCTTGATAATGCCGTTATCTACCAACAAGATGGATGCCCTGCCCATTGGGTCTTCCAGTTAGACAGTGGTTACATGCTCTCCTGATTTGATGCCATTACATTATTTTTATTAGGACTACATAAAGGTCAGGGTTTATTGAACAGCAGTTGAAAATGGCACAGATTTACAACAACAAATAATTGATGTTTCTGCACAGATAATGGCTGACCAGCTTAGGAAAATTGAGGTAGATTTTTCTATGAGTCATTTTGAACACCTCATGAAGTAGGTGTCAAAATGTCCTTGTCAATACTTTCATTTTTTTTTGGAGTTAACAAAAGAACTTTTTTCCTTCATTATGGCAAAGAAGCTTGAAATTAGCATGCAGTTTTATTTCCAATCTGAAACAACCTGATAGGAATAGCAACCTTTGTACAGCAAATAACTATGTTTTATGCTAAATTTTCACATAGTTCTGCATAATAACATAATAACCGACAGAACACTACATATCATGCTTGCTGAACTGCATTATTACTTTGTCAGACACTCCTATGGGGTATTATTTTTTGAACACTCAGTATAACGAAAATATTGTGTATATTATGCACCAATGCTTCTATGTAATACCAAAACATTTAAAAAGCTATTTTTATTAAAATAAACACATACCTCTTTTAATGTTCCAGTTTGTGTTAATAAGAAATAAATGGCATAAGCAGGAATCCAAATCATTGAAGCTAAAGCCATCAACCAACCCATCATGCTTCCCCACCAAGGATATGAATAAACATTTGCATATATAAGGGGTTTATAGCGAAATACAGAGAATAAAAATATGCCCTGAATTAAAAAATAAATAAATTAATGTAAAATAATATATATTTTTTCATAACTTTTTATAATAAAATGTATAAATTTAGTGAAACAAATTCATACTTTTTTATATTTTATATTTTATATTTTTCAAAATTAATTTCTTTTAAAACATAGCACTTTTTTATTTCTTGAATTTAAAATCCTAATTTTAATGTGAAAAACTGACTGGCATTCTGAACTATCAAAAAGGTTTCTAAACAATCTACAATTTTTATATTTTATACTATATTAACTTGATTATAAGATGTATGTTTTTCAATTTTTTTTTCCAGAAATCAGAATGCATCTTATACTCAATGACATTTCACAGTCAGCTGTAGAAATGTTTTGAAGCAGTTATCATTATCTGTATACAGATGAACTTTGTTATATCCTTTCCTTCTGCTGTCAATTATATACATTGATAGTATTACAGGCTTTTTTAATACAATTAAAATATCTTCAAAAAGTTACATTATGATGCAACATTGAAATGAATATTAGAAAAGAGCACAGAAAATGCTGTGAAATGTAAATAAATACATATATTATTTTGTTCTAATATTTAAAAATAAAAGCCATAGATTATTCTGTAGATAAGTATGTTTATTTCTTTTATTGTAGGTTAATAAAAATATTTTCCATAATTCAATTTTGTATTTTTTAACAAAATTAACAGAGTTTTAATAAATATTATTTATTAATTGGATATGTTTTTAAATTTTAATGGTTTTTACCTTCAGGTAAAATCCATTTTATGAAAAGCAATTCTTATCAAAAAATAAAAATAAAATACTTACAAAAGTAATGAGTGGTACAAATATTGTCCATCCAATTTTAAAATACATATTAGGGTAACGTCCAGTCATTTCTTTTATGTTATTGGACAGCCTTTGGGTACCTATTGGAAACAATTTGTTGTAAGAAAATAAATTACAAAAATTTCAAATATAGAATATTGTTAGATATCTATATTTATTACTTTTTAAATAATGGATAAATAATGATTCAAATTTCTTATACTAGATAAACTCAAAATGCTGCTTTATTGGAGGTCACTAAAAGTGATATTTAAGTCAGTGAGCTCTAATAAAGCAGAGTTTTTAGCTAATATAAAATTTTTTCAAGTTATATTATTTCAGTTTGCTCTAGCTTTCAAATTTATATTGTTGCATGTAATCTGAGTTGTTTCTAAAATATAGTTTAGGATTTTATATATCTTAGTTTTTAAATTAAATTTAAAAGTAAGTTATACAAGTGCATATGGTTTTTAATTTTTTAAATGAATGTTATGCATTTTTTGAAAATTTGTTTAGAATTTCAAATAAGTTTTGAAAGCTCCAAATATATATAATAATATGCTTAATGTCATGTAAAAATTACGATGACCTTTTCAGTTTGAACAAATTTCAAACCACTAAGTTTTAATAGATTATTTATATATTATCAATAATTAATTTGAAAAAATGATTATTTAGAGAATACATTCATAATATTTTCATTGTGATAATGACTAATGAAAACTTATAGCTATAAAAACTTTTCATTATAAACTGGAAAAATCAACTAAAAATTTATAAAAGCTTTCTACATTTATACACTAAAAATTCTAAATTTTTCTGTGTTTAAATTAAATAAAGTTAAATACATTTTAGAAAAAGGTCATTAGTTCATTAACTTACCATAAATCCATGAGATAGCTATAGTTTGAAAGAACACTGTAAATAATAGAGTTATTCCACTTGCAGAATAATAATCCATCAATTGGAAAATGTACATGCCTCCCTAAAAAAATGGGGTACAAATTTTATGAAATTTTTTCTCAGATAGCTATTTAATAGTACTATGAATTAAAAGATATGAATACAATATAAAAAGTTTAATAATTTTTAATTAAAAAATGATTATCAACTTCAAAAGTAATTTTAATCAAATTTATATGAATATTAATTAGTTCAGAAGGGGTCAGGAAAGAAAATTATTCCCTTGACATTTGTTTCATTCATTCATTTTTCTTTATACAATTGTTATTTGATAAAATAAAGCAATTGTATTTTTGTAAGAATAAATGTATTTAATATTTGTTACACTCAAGTAACTATGAGATGATCCTTCCAGTTATTGTTTAAGAAATATTCAGATGCTGTACTATTTAGGAGATAACATATTTTAGAGTATAGTTGTAGCTTTTATATGTGTTTTACATGCTTATCATTAACTTTCATAAAGATGGAAGGTATGTTAAGTAGGAACAAACCTGTTTTAGAAGCGTTTTTAATGAATCAATAGATTGTTTAGTTGATCTAAATTATATATATTTGTCTGTCCTAAGTCAAAACCATAATATATAATTGTGTGTATATGCATATAAGATGAATCAAAACTCATGCATTATGGAATAAATTGTTAAAAATTAATATTTCTATTCTGTTTCAATGTTTCTTGATTTTTAGTTGTTTCTTTTTTTTGTCATCTAAAGTTAACTGTATATCAGAATTACCCAAGAGACAGTGATGAAGTTCTGGAAACAATATTATCAATTTGTATAATTATGGTTACTGAACATCCCCAATTTCCAGGGACTGTCCCTGGTTTTGCCTGTTTTTAATATTTGATTGTAGAATCAATCTTTAAATAAAGCAATTTTATTAACACTCTAGTATATAGTAATATCACCAATTTACAGATAAAAAATAAATAAATTTTAAAACAATAACCAAAGTTCAATCAATTTTAGACCCTATTTTCACTGATTCTGAAATATGTCCCAGGTTGGACTGTAAATATTATGGTCAGCCTAGTTGTAATATTGTCACTCTTCAAAATGGCCAGCTCCAAAATTTTGAGTTGGCCATTTTGAACGTCTAACTATTAAATAAATTAATTTAATAATGTTTTTTTGTTAACCCTGCATATAGTGTTGCCACCTTTTCAAAATCACTGACCCGGAAGGCAAATCAGGTTTGTTCAAACAGAAGTTCCTGACACATGCACAATGTCATTTTACAATGCGAAGAATAACATGCATGCCAGTTCTAAATCAGTTACAGTTAGGGACTTGCGCAGGAGTAATACAGGTAACCTAAATTAAGAAAGAACAGGTACAGATAACTTAGCTCTGTTTGAGACGTGTACATGTTAACAAAAAAAAAAAAAAGAGTGACAAGTTGCACGCCACATGTTGGCGTAAACAGACTAACATGGTAGAATTGCAGATGAGTTTCAGTGAGTGTGAGTTCTTTCGCTGTTAAAATAGTGTAAATTTGTAGTAAATTTGTAAAAATATTTGCGAGAACTTTGCTTCATTGTAATTTCACAATTTCTACAAAATTCCTGGACAAAATTAATAGTTCACCCGGACAGTGAGTCAATTTCCGGACTGTCTGGGTGAAAACCGGACGGGTAGTAACACTACCTACATATCTGCATTTTTTTAAATTGATGATCTTCACATCACATATCTATGAACATATACTGTGTAGATGTATTTTATAGACAGTGTCTATTAAGAGATTAATTATTGAAATTATTATTAATCAAATGAGCTTATTGATCTGTTGTACTGTACAAAATGAACTTCATTATTATAAGTTGCTTTATTCTGAATGAATAAATGATATTAAATATTGAGAACTCTTTTCATACACAAAAAAATATCTTTAAAAATTATAGTAAAGTTATAAATTAGACTGATAAAAATAATTTTATTTTTGTAAAGATTAGAAATTTAACTTTCTTATTTTACTGATTGTTTATTTATTAATAAATTTTATAAACTATGCTAAAATTCTAACATACCATATTTATTGCATATAAGACAAGATTTTTATTCATTTATCACGGCTTCAAATTCCTAGGTTGCCCTATACATGTGACCAAAAGATTCTTTGTGTTTTTGCAAATAATTTTTATGAACCATGTATTCGCACTTTTTACCAGATACTTACCCTCTTGTATTTAAAAACATAAGTATTTTATCTGGGTCGTTTGAATCGTTCTTGTGTATTGTTGGGATTAAAGGTGAATAGCAATAGGAAAAGCAAAGCTTTTGAATTGAATTCTAGATTGAAATTCCAAAATCACATGGGAGCACGATATAAGTTTAATCATCTGTTTTCACGTGGGAATGGATTAATTCAGAAATCAGAATTTGGAGAAACTCATAAGTGTAATTGATGGAGAATTGATTTGACTGTTAATAATTGGCAAAAAAGGGTTTTCGATTGTCCAGCTTTACATGATTTTTCCGTAAAGTTTAAAATGCCAGTAATTTTTGCAGGACTATGTGTGCATTTATGTTCATTTGATATTTTGTTTTTTATTTAACAAAATAAAATTACAATTGTATTAATAAATCTAGTTTTTTTTTTATTTTGATCTTTAAAGTCACACTTCATCCTATATGCAAGATTGTCTTATATGCAAGTAAATATGATAATTTAAAAATCATTTTTATTGTACATTTTAAAATACTTTATTTTATCATCCAATTGTGATAATAATTTAAGAAATCTTATAACTAAGTCTTTTGCATTTTCAAATTTATAAATTTTTTGGAAACTGCAGATAAAAATAATTTTTCTGTATACAATAAATGCTTTTTTGACAATGTGACAATTTATACTTTATATATAGAATGTGACTTTATCAATGCCAGACTTTGCAAAAGGAATAATATCACATTTCATTGGCAGTAAAGATCATGTATATAGTTTGTGAATAAAAATATCTAACTTCAAAAATATCACCATATTTATTTAGTTAAAATTTTAATTTTAACTAAGTAAATAATATATATAAAGTAGTAAAAATTATTTTTTTAAATTTATTGATGAGTTAAATAAAAAAAATGATCATAAGATTCAGCATTATATATTGAATTATATAAATAATTTTGAACTCTATAATTTTTTGGTTTATTTTCTTATGTAAGTTCTTTATTATTATAATTAAAGAAATTTGTTACTACTATACCATACTAGAAATACACGCCACAGTCAGTGTTAGAAAATGATACACACAAAATATACTATGAGGAAGCCATACTCACAGATAAAACAATTCAGCACAATAGACCTGACCACACTGTCATGACAAATACAGTAAGATTGCTTATATAATAGATAGCTCTGTTCCAAACACTCATAACATAAAAAATACTCACTCTGAAAAATCAACAGTACACTCAACTCACTCAAGAAATAAGACAGATGTGGAGGATGGATAAGGTATCTATTGTACCCATTGTTTCTCTCTTCTACTAGTGCCATACTACATACACTACACAAAAGTCTAGAAATATTAAACCTTAATAGAACATATATATGGCACTACAGAAAGTTGCAATATTGAACAAATAAAGAACTGGACTTGTTTAGTATGGTTGTGTTACTGTCCTAGTGATAATTTAGAATTTTATTAATAAGATGTATGTAATAATTTGTAATAATTGTACTATTAATTAAATAGGTGTGGTGTGTAATAGGCCTGCTCATTAGTCATAGTAACTAAGCATTTTTTTGTAATTAAATAATACAGGCAAGAAGCTTTTTAATACATTGTTAGGAAGCTTCTAGACATTGACACATACACCAATAACACAATTTAATGTTAGACTTGTTTGGATAGCTATATCTTGACTTTAGTCTGGCATATCACTTTGCACCAGTATCAGCTGAGTATGACATTCAGGGATGTGCGGTAGATTTTCTCAGTATGATGCAAGTCTTCAAAATGCCGCCCTCTTGCGATGCCAGCGCTTCTCTGTATTGTAGCATGTCACGGCCCTAATGGCATTTGCATAATAATAATAATAATACAGTAGAACCTTGAAAACTCAGCCTAATGTGGACCGAAGGGTGGCCAAGTTTGTGAAAATGCCAGGTTATCGGGAATGGGTTAAAAAAAATAAGTACGAGTGTTTCCTCAGAAAATATTGTACTGTACTTGTATGTATTGTTTACTTGAGAATACAACAGAGAATAAACTGCCCAAATACCCTTAAACAACGGAAAAGTACGTCCTTTATGAAGGCATAGAGCCTTTACTACATGAAAATGAAAATTAATGAATACACTGTGTACAGTAATTTACCTGATAAGACAGACTTCAGAAAAATACTTTATGAGAGCTTTTATACTTTTATAAAGCTGTCTATAATGAAAATTAATTAAGTAAGGATTTTTTTGCCCTGCCAGGGTGTGGCCGAGTTATCCGGAGTGCTGGGTTATCGAGAGCCGAGTTTTCGAGGTTCTACTGTATAGAGTATTCTACACGTAAAAGTTAATAGTCTTAGAAGCTCATAATTTTTTTTTAATTGTAAGGATATTTAAAGATTCATTAAAATTATTACACTTTAGATCCAATATAATGTGTGTCCAAAAATTTAATCCACATTATTAGTAAGTCTACATTACGTTGTTTTGAGTTTATACAGTTTTTGGGTGCTGGAAATAAATATAGTCAAAAGTTGGCTTCCAACTTCATTGTTTTAAATAATTTTAAATTCATCAACCCACATTATAGCAACTCAACAATGTATTTTATTATATAATTAAACAATTAGTTTTCAAATAAAAAATTAACATTTTTGGAGTTCTTTTTTGCCATCAAGAAAATATGTTAAACAAAAACAGTAAGTTTTTAAACATTAAACAATTCTATTTGTTTATTATTTGGCATAAATTTTAAAAATTATTTTTTAAAATTTCATATTTTGTACATAGATCAATAAGATCATTTGACTAATAATAATTTTAATAATTAATCATCTACACAGTATACAGTATGTTCATAGGTATTTGGTAACCTAATGTGAAATATTTGCTTAATGCTCTAAAAATAATTATTGTGATTACAGTATTTAATATTAAAACTTGTTAAATATGTAACACATACTATTATCTTTAGGCATACATTATATTAAATATACAATTCAATAAAAAATGATTTATGAAATTAAAAATGACTTCATTTTCTCTTAATATCAACTAAAATTTATTTCAACAATTTCCTTAAACATCTCCAAACACACAAAACTAGATATCAGGTTGGAATCTGTATTTGTACTTGTATTACAACAGTGCTGGTTTCCCATCAGTATGGAACAGAAAGCCCAAAATACTAGATTTAAGTAAAGTATTTGTCTTGATGTCCAAAAATTGCAAAGAAACTAAGTATTTTCTCTAAAATGGAATTATATGGATTCTTAAATAAATTTACACTAATTTATGTATTTATTTATTTTAATATCAGATGTCCAAAAATTGCAAAGAAACTAAGTATTTTCTCTAAAATGGAATTATATGGATTCTTAAATAAATTTACACTAAATAATGTATTTATTTATTTTAATATCATCTGTCATAATCTGGCTAATATTAGAAAAAAAAAATGGAAAAGAATAATTATACATTATTCAATATCATATGCTTAGTTGTATGCTAAAAGCATTCAGCTTAATTATTTAAAACTAGAATTTCTAAATTAGAGATATATCTATTTCTAAAGTAGAAATAAAAATGAATGTAATAATTGGAACTGATCAATTGTCCACTTACTTCTGTCACCATTGGCAAGCCAAGAAGAAAGAGAAGAAAACAAACTGATAAAGTAAAGAGTTTTCTAACTGGACGAATAACATCAGCCCATTCATCTGTAATGCCTGCTATTAAAGCTTCGACTGTACAAAACTGAAATAAAATTTTTTGAATATTAATTTATGTTTCTGCTTTTATTATTAAAAAAAATTTTATTAAAAATTAGATTTTTGCTTTATTTATTATTTAAAGCTTATAAAATAAAATATAAAATATAAATACTATTTTGATGGACAGCATATAATAATAGAAATTCCCACCTGACTGTCAACACCAAGAATGAGTAACATCAAGAAGAACAGAACAGACCATAATGGTGAAAGTGGTAACTGTAGTACTACTTCAGGATATGTTAAAAATGCCAAGCCTGGACCTAAATAGATATTTTTTCTACTATTAACATAGAAATAAAGATTTTAAAAATATAGATATATTTAAATAATTTATAACAAATTTTGTTTATAAATAATATGAAGTATTGAACTTTATTATTTTTATCATTAATAGTTTGGTTTTATTCGATTAAGGCAATACAACACATGGGCAATCTTCAGAGGGGGAATGCCTCCCAGGAGGTCTTTTATGGAAAACCACTGAACTACCAGTGTTCAGTGGTTTTATCTACTTGGCCACAGGTGGGCCTATCATTAATACCATTGTAAACTATGTACTTTTAAAATATTACAAATCATTATTGTAAAATACATATTTATAAACAGTTAAATCTGTTCAATATTAAAGCCTTATAATGATGTATTAATAAAATTTGATAGTCATAATTATCTTTATCTCAATAGTAATCTTCTAATATAATCTAATATTTTAAAATTTATTACAATTCATTATTCTAAATCTAAATTATTACATTCTAATATTACATATATTTTAATATTAGATTGTAATGTAATAAAAATTTTCCAAGTTATTTGATAATTGATTATAACCATTTTATAACTGTGTGAAATGATTTAAACTAAAAATGAAAAGAGAATCTATAACATTTTGCATGGCTTCTTGTTCAGTTAAATATTCATGTATAAGCATAAAAATTGCATTTTCCCTGAGAATGTACCATACAGGAAACTTTGGCAATTCAAAAGACCATAGACTATAAAGCTTATAACCTTTTGAATTGCCTATTATCTAAAATATTGTATAATTATTGTAGCTTTATGATGGGTTATACTTATAAAATATATTAACAAGCATTTAAAGTGATATTTTCAAATCTCTGACTTAAGTTGGATAAAAATTTTAATCTTCAATTCATATTATTTTTAAATTTGAGATATTATGGAAAAGTAGGAATTTTTATTAAATTGAACAATAATGGAGTATCTTCACTTCACTGCATAACTACTAGTTATTGTAATAAAAACTGATTATAAGTGACTGTTGCTAATTATGCTCATTATTTAATTTCAATAGAAATGATACAACAGACTTAGAATTTGCATATAAAATATATTTTGAATTTGTAATGAAAGTTTTTATTTTCTACTCAGTTTAAACAATGAAACAACAACAGATATCATTTTACAACAATTTAATGAAATTTAACAGATTTTACTCTAAGTAGTATTATTTTTTATTAATCAAAACTTTTATAGAATATAAACTATACATGATTTAATGAAATATTACTTTCCTTAAATTAGTGTATGGATAATATGTGTGAAGTTACTGAAATTTATATTTTGTGAAATTTGTGACTGATATATTTTCATGTGTTATTTTAGTTTAATCCATAATTTAAAAATTATTGCATCCATCCAATATAATAAAATTATTTCACTTTCTAGTTTGATCATATAGAGAAATAGTTTGAAAAATAGAGAAAAATCCATTTGGAATAATGCTTTTATTTGAAACTTAAGATGTGGGTATTAATTACAATTTAAAAGGTATTGAGAAAATAGAAAATGAAAGTAAAAATAAAATAATGAACAACAAAGATTTTTGACAAAAGAAAATTTTAGTAACATTTAACATTTGTATATTGTGGACTAAAGAATGTAGAAAATGGTACATTAAATATTTAGAAGAAATAATATTCTATTAACTAATGATTTCAGATTCCGTTATCAGATAGTATTATATCGGGTAACGTTAATTTTTGCATTTAGTTATTATGCTATTTATGTATCAGTAGTTATTACAAAACAGTTTTAAAAATACACAAGCTTAACCTGTTTGAAAATGAAGAAAAAAGGACTGATGGATTTCAGAATGTATATTATGTTCCATCAGATCTTTGTTTATTTTCAGAACAGGTTTCATCAATAAAATATATATATATATTTTGATAAAAATTTTGATATATATATCAAAATTTTTATTTTAGTTTTATTAAATTTTAGAATATTACCTGATTTCACAACTTCTGAAACTGGTATGTTTTGAACATATGACATATGACCCAAAACAGAAAAAATTACACTTCCTGCAAAAATGCTTGTTGCTGGATTTACAAAACACAGTATAAAAGCATCTCTGTAAAAATTAAGTATTAAAAACAGCATTAATACTTAATAATTAATAAATTATAAATTTCAACATAATAATGTTTAATTACTTGAAAAAGTTATGATGAAATTTATTATAACTGCCTAAAGTTATAACAGATCCAAATCCAATACCAAATGTAAAGAATACTTGGGTGCCTGCAGTGACCCAAACCTAAAAATAAGGGAAAAATATATATATTGCATAATATACTTTTATTTTATCACATATTTCCAATAGTTTAAACACTGATTTAAATGAAGTACTTAATGAAACATCTTTATTCCAGCACAATTCCTTTCTCTTAAATGTATGACAGTAAATATCTATCCCGATGATAACATATTAATTAAATGTTGAAAATGTTAGTATTGTGCTGAAATAAAGGTGTTTGATAAAGTATTGTTGTTCATATAAATATTGATAAAATAAGAAAAATGAATTTAGATTATTATTTTACAGTACAGTATTATGAAATAACTATATATCTATGATAAAGTAAATATGAATTTTTAAGAACTTTACAACTTTAAATTAATCTTACCTTTGGATCCAATAGTTTTGACCAAACTGGAGTAATATAAAATAATAAACCGCTAAATGCACCTTCTAATGTGATTCCACGAAAAAATAATACTGACAGTATAACATATGGAAATAGTGCAGTAACCCAGATAATCTACAAAAAATTATTATTAAGTTTATTTTAAATTTTTTAATTAAAAAACATAAAATAAGAAAATGTCATAATTTTCNCTTAATAATTAATGAATTATAAATTTCAACATAATAATGTTTAATTACTTGAAAAAGTTATGATGAAATTTATTATAACTGCCTAAAGTTATAACAGATCCAAATCCAATACCAAATGTAAAGAATACTTGGGTGCCTGCAGTGACCCAAACCTAAAAATAAGGGAAAAATATATATATTGCATAATATACTTTTATTTTATCACATATTTCCAATAGTTTAAACACTGATTTAAATGAAGTACTTAATGAAACATCTTTATTCCAGCACAATTCCTTTCTCTTAAATGTATGACAGTAAATATCTATCCCGATGATAACATATTAATTAAATGTTGAAAATGTTAGTATTGTGCTGAAATAAAGGTGTTTGATAAAGTATTGTTGTTCATATAAATATTGATAAAATAAGAAAAATGAATTTAGATTATTATTTTACAGTACAGTATTATGAAATAACTATATATCTATGATAAAGTAAATATGAATTTTTAAGAACTTTACAACTTTAAATTAATCTTACCTTTGGATCCAATAGTTTTGACCAAACTGGAGTAATATAAAATAATAAACCGCTAAATGCACCTTCTAATGTGATTCCACGAAAAAATAATACTGACAGTATAACATATGGAAATAGTGCAGTAACCCAGATAATCTACAAAAAATTATTATTAAGTTTATTTTAAATTTTTTAATTAAAAAACATAAAATAAGAAAATGTCATAATTTTCTATTAAAGTATTTGTTATAACTATAAAAATTTTTTCTTTGTATTAAATATTTTTATTAACATAATCTTCATTAAATTGAAATAAAATATCTAATAATTGAATTATAAACATCAAATAACTAATTTTATTTATTAATTTTAGGGCATTTTAAAGTCTAAAAAATTTTGATTTTTTGGTATATCAAATTGAAATTATAGAATCAACAAAATATGAATGATTAATTTTTTTTAATGAAGTATGATTGGTGAAATTCTTCTTTTTGGTAAGATGTAATGTTCTTACAATATAAACTTTAACTCTTTAATCTGCCATGCCAAAATTGGCAGGTTTGTGTATGATATTGTATCATTTATAATGTAAAAATTATATTTTCTACTATAATAATGAAATTTAATTATAAAGTTTATATATTTGAATTATTGTTAGATTATGATTTCCTTCCACATGTAATTTTATTTTTTAAAAATTTTTGTAGACATTATTCATCATCTGAGAAATTTAGAAATATCAAGTTCTAAGAATATGGAAATGTCTCAAAATATTCTAATAAACAATACTTTCAAAAGTTGTAAAAGTAAGTATATAACTATGAATGATAAGATAAAAAAAAGTATTAAAAAATTATTGCAAATAGCATGAAAGAGCATGTTCCACATAATTGAAAAAATGAATTGTAACTGAGGAAATGTAAATAATGTTAGAGAATTGATTTTATAACTTTATAGACTGTCAAATATGCAATAATCATTTTTCAAAAGAATCTAGGAAGAACAGAAGTGATAATTTTTTCCTATAACTGATTATTTTTGAAATAATATGTATATTTGATTTACCAATATTATTGTTTAAAGTATTTTACCTTTCCACTTTGATGAAGACCACGATAAATAACAATATATACAAATGTAGAAGCAACAAAAAGTCCAAGAACTAATTCCCACCGGAGGGTTCCTATATCATGAATTCCATCTGTGATTCCAAGAACACGTCTCCTATTAAATAGAATACTAATTTTGTAAAATAATTTCAAATGTTTTTTTTAAATTTATATATATGTTTTATTAATAAATTACATACAATAAATTGAATGTCATATGTAATTTAAAAATTATTACTTACTCCCAAAATTCAACAACAGGTGAAACAGAAATGTTAATACTTGAATTAGAAGATCCATTGTTGTAATTTAAATCTACACAATTTTCTGTATTCCAATACTGATTACATTGTTGCCAAGGTAAAATAGCAGCAAAAGATGCAACCAAGTAAAAAAGAATCCATGCCACTATTATAATATAATATATATTATATAATCCCACAATTGTCATAGAAGCAAGTCCGACCCCTGCAAAATGATAAATATAAATGAATAAGTTTATATATTTCAAATATTTAACTTTATCAAAGATAATTGGATCAACTATATAAAATTATAAAAATTGGAATAAATAATACTGCATTAGACATACCATAAATATTTATGTTTAATATAGTAAACTTAGATTGTTGTGAAAATTGACTATAATTAATATCATTTGTAATTATTGTAATGACATTTAATTAAGTTTTGTTGTTACCTTTGAAAATTGGAACCATATTCCATATGCCAATACCTCCCATACTGAGATATTGGCCAATTGCAACCTCCATAAAAAAAGCAGGAATTGCACATAACACCAAGCATACTAAATATGGAAATAAAAAAGCACCTGAAAAAATTAAAAAAATTTATTTTATATCTTGAATTTGAAGTTTTTCATTAAATTTAAATCTTTTTTCTTTAAAATAAAAATAGTTGTAATTTTTTGAATACAACAGGATGAATATAAGCTGACATAGATCTTATCACAAACTTATATTAATGTTCCATATAGTTGGTGACTACATTACCTCCGCCATTTTCGTAGCATAGATAAGGAAATCTCCAAACATTTCCTAATCCAACTGCATAACTGATGCAACTAAAGAGAAAATCCAATTTTCCACTCCATTGGCCTCGTTCTGGTATAGCATCGGGAATATTGCCACCAATTTCGCTAGTGCTGCTACTGCTGCCTGCTTCATCATATTTATTTGGAATAGGAAAAGTAGTTTTTCCTATATATATAGTTTTGATGCATTCATCTGAATACCCTACTTTGTCTTTTTGTGGTGATTTGAAACCAAAGTACTTTAAGCCATTTCTCAAGAAATGCACTTTGGAATTAGCAGCTGTAGAACTATTTTCCATATTATTGGAATTCTTTTATCTGGTTTGCTGATCTGAATTTTTAAACACAGCTGAAAAGAATCAATTGTGTGATATCAAGTATGCCATTTAGACAGTTCAGAGATATGTTAGCATTAATTGAATGAATATACAGTAAAATCTTTAAGCCAAGGGGGAATTAATGAACTAATATTATGACCCGAAAAAATGAATCAGTAAGAATATAAAATGAAAAAAGTATTATGGATAACAGTAAAATTATGAATTAAATTTCAATATAAACAAATATTTTAAACTTGAGAAATAAAACTTATACATAAGACAGGACCTGAAAGAAAAACCAACAAAGCTATCTAAACAATAAACTAAAGCTATATTTACATTTACTTACTTATTTTTAAGAAAAATAAAATCTTTATCTATATGTTTACATAGTACCATTAAATTCTTAAGGAAGATTTTTAATTAGAAATGAATGATACAGTATATATTTTAACAGTTAAAAATTGATCATTTCTACAAAGCATACAGGATATTTTGTGAATAATTATAATTTAAGGTTACAAAAATAAATATTTGCATTCTCATTAATATATTACTAGAAATCAGTTTTAAAATTTTTATTTCATTTGAAATATTTGAGTAACTAAACTCATATCAGTATATCATTATTTCAAAATTATTTTATGAGAAAAATGATAAAAGGAATGAAATGTAAAACTTGCAGGTGAAAATTTTAAAAAGTAGAAATTTTTGTGAAATTTGTTTATAATTTATTATTAGTATTCTATTTATTCAAATATAAAAGCTTTGTTTTTACTAAGTAATGGAAATTTTTAAATTCTATATTATTTAAAAATGCATGAGTAATACATGCATTTTTAGCAGCAAGCAAATCAAAAACCAGAATGATACAAAAGAGAATATTTGATTACAGCATACATCTAACAAAGATGAATTTTTCGTTTTCAAATTAAGTTTTACTTCACATTAGTATTGTGTTAATTAAAAATAACTCTTTTGAATTTATAAATTATAAGATTTTTATCATTTATACACAAAATCAATTTTAAATAAAAGTTTTTTCATTTTTTTTTTAATCAATTAGGTTTTATAAAGATTAAAAATATTATAATATACCGGTAATCATTATTATCTTTAATAGATTATAATTTGGCAGTAGTAGAAACATTCAAAGATTCATATTTTCAAATTTATACTTTAAAATAATAATTTTCTATTAAGGTGGTGTGCAACTTTTTAAAATAAATTTATTTCACAGATGTACAAGATGAGTCAAAAGTCCCTTGCACCCTTTTCATTCCGAAAGTACTGAAGATATATTAATTTTGTTAATGTAGCCACATAGAAAGTCATGCATGGAGAATCAGATGGAACGTTTTTGTGACCATTAAAAATTATGTTTGACACTTACTTTGTAAATTTATAATAAGCAGAGGTAACATAAAAGTTCTAATAACAGTTAGAGTACCATTTAATTAGTCTGAATTCATTTTCTAGATTCTTAATCAGCATTGTGTAAACAGATGTTCAAGGGTATATTAATCCTTTTAAAAAATGAACTTTAAATTCATTAGGAGTAAAATTGTTTGTTTTAAGTGGCCTTGAAAATTATTTTCAACACATTACATCTTTGCACCAAAATAAATTTTAGAAAACAATACTATATGATTAAAGACATTACATAAGTATGAAAAAAATAATAATTTTTATGCATAGAATTGAAAGAGTAGAGAACAAAAATGAATGAATAAATAATAAATATATTTTTGCACAAGAATGTATAATTGAAAAAAATTATTAAAACATATTTGTAATTCACAAGTTTAGCCAAACATAAAGAATTAAAATAAAGAGGATCTCAAATTATTTAGATAACAAACAAATACACTTTAACAACAGAAAGAATAAATCTTAAATTATGGTACTCAAATGCTCACCTTTATCTTGAATCTTGTTTTTGTTTACCATCATTTGAGATTTGTTCTTTTCTTTTGATAAAGCATTTATTTATTTTTACTGTAAAAATTATTAACTGAACTCAAAAATTTATTAATTAAAAAAATACATAAATTATTTTTGTCAATTTTCAAAAAGTTTATTTATTTATTTTTTTAAAGCTTCTTAGTATTTGCTTTTAATTTAAGAAATTTGGATTCATATTTTTGCTTTGACAATACATAATTTTTGTCATAATAGTCCAGTGTTACATAATTAACTTTAAATATTGTTCTATCTAATGTACTGTACTTTCAAAAGCAAAAGAAATGTATTTAGTGACAAAAGTAAAGAACCAATATTTAACACTAATATTTTGTAATCTTATTTAACTTCAATTTCAATGTTAGTATTTTATTATATTTAGGCTGTGTTTTTAGTGTTTCAACTGATTGCCAAGTAGAAATTTTTATTATTGTTTGATATCTGAAAGAATGTAAATTTGATGTAAACCAGTTGTTAAAAAGTTAAGAAAAATTATTTGACATAAATATAAAGCTGGAAAGGGCTCCTATCAACTTTCTCGGCACTCAAACTTCCAGATTAAGAGAATTTGGAAGTCTGACAATTTTCAATTTTACTACGATATAAAATTTTAATAATAAAAGCTTAAAGGAAATCATTTTGTTGAATTGTGAGGAATTTCTCTGTATAAAATAACACCGACACACATTATCTCAAAATTAAAATCGTATATTGTGCCATCTGTTTGCGACTTTAAAAATAATCTCCTCTATCTGCCCCTCTGATCTTTAACCACCAAAATTTAAGTTAATAGCTTCAATGCCCCACATATAGAATATCTAATCTTATTTTAATCTTATCAAAATTTTGGTTCATCCAATCCTGAGATATTATGCAAAATACTTTCACACACAATTTTATAAGGTTTTTTTTTTTTTAATTTTTGGACCCGAATGTCAAAATGTCGAGGAATGAAAAAGGTGAGGGTCAAATTTGAACGATTACTATTCTTTTCCTAAGTTATGTTCTATAACAACCGGGAAGATAAAAACTATTGATAAAATTTTTGTCTTGCAAAGTTTTAAAAGCATACCAAACAGAATTATAGTAATGCGAATAATTACAGTATTTAACAAAAATTAAATGGTTAAATTTATGAAATTGTTTTAACAAGAATATGGATTGAGATATTTTTTAAGTTTATTAAGTTTGTCTAATTTAAAAAAATTTTATTCTATGGTTCCATAATATAAAATTAAAATGGAATATATAGAATGGGTACCTATAAATGATAAGAAGAGTCAAGAAGCAGAAAACTATGATTATCTAAATTTATAAATATAGCAAAAATTTTATATAATGAAAGATTTTTCTCTCATTGCTGAAGTAATGTATGAATGAAATTACTGATAAGCCATAATTTTGTAAGTACACAGTGAGGCAATAGTTTTAGTTAAAAATAGTTTTAAAGAGTTAACATTAGATGATATCAGTAATCTAGCTTACAATTTACTGGAAAACATTTTAGAAACGTTAAATTTTGAATTAGATTTAGTTAAGAAATTGAAATGGGTGTAATGTATTGTTCTGCAATGTTCAATTTAAAAATATGGAATGATCAAAATTGGCTTTATATCTTAAAATAATCATTTAGATATGATTGTTATGATTGCAAGAGTAAATATTAAATAAATCCTAACGCAGTTTAATATACATATACATTAGTTGAGTTAATAATAATTTGCACTTATAATCTTAAAAATTCGCAGAGTTTTTCCACATATTTACTATATATAAATTCATAATTATAGGATTTTTTAATGTTTTTTTGTGCACTACCTAAAAATAAATATACTTAAGTATATTTAAATTATTGTGATATAAATTTTGTTACATTTAATGGATTTAATGTTTCAGATGAAAAATTATTAAACAAAATAAAGTAAAATATCAAATAAAAGAAAATCAGTACATTTTTGTAATAATAAAGTGTAAGCAAAAATAATTACTTAATCTATTTAAAATGTCCTTTTAGTTTATGCAATTATTAAGTTTTCGTCAATATATTCTTAAAATTGTAATATACATCTATAATAGATAATTTTGTTTTCTTCTCAATTTATTATCTAACATACTATGTTACATAATGTTTTACGAGATATGCCGATAAGAAGTACAAATAAAATAATCTAATTTGTATTGTAATTTATCTGATTGAAAAAAGTATAAATTGTTCGTCCTGACTTGGATTAAATCCCATTTTTTTTTATTTTTATTTCTTTGTTGAAAACGTCTCTTCTGCGCCAATTTAATGCTGAATGAGAAGAGAGACTGGAATTTTAAAAACAAAGATAGTACTGGCCAGACAGTAAAGCTTAGATACTTTCTCAAAAAATATTTAAATTATTTTTGAATGATTAACATTTTAAAATAGAAAGCAATAATTCTAATATCTGTTTAATTAATGAAGTGTAAAATAATAAACAAGAATTTGACTTCAATGAAATCTCTCCCACTTTCATTAAAATTTAATATTGGATTACATGTATCAATAAAAAAAATTATTATATTCGATGTATTTCAGAATAAAAATATTTAAAGCAAATCTTTAACATTTTGCAAATTTTTAATGATGTAGTGATTGTATTTTAGTTATTCCTTATTCAAAATATATTATTTGGATATAAATAGTTATAAAATATCAAAGAAGAAAGATAAGCAACAAGAGTTGCCAACTGTTCGGAAATGTCCTGAAAAATGGACGTAGACTTTTTTTTAATTAGTGGTACCACTAATTAAAAACAAAGTGGTCCCAATTGTAATTACCAAAAAAAGTGGTACCACTAATTATAAACCAAATTATTTTCATTTTCATTAGGTTTCTTCCCTCACTTTCTGTCCTAGGAGGACCTGTTTTAATCATACCCATCGCCGCCAGGAACACAATGGCAACGGCAGGATGGTAAGGAACAGGGTTTAACATATCCAGAACGGACTGTCCATGAAACGTTCGCGATCCAGGAACGACCAGTCCCGATTTGTTCTTGGATTCACAGAGCGGTAGGGTGAAATTTTAAGCACTTTGTCATCCGACTGTCTCCTCCTCATTATTATAATCATCAAGGAAAGAGGGAATGGAATGTTTCCAAGTTTACAGGTTTTCTTTTGCTCATCACTTTTTTAAAGTTTTTTTTTTTTACTTTATGTTCAGAATTTGTTACTCTAAAACAAATACAGCATACAACACAAATTATATCAGTTAAGATGTACTATTCAGAATTAGTTTATTTTCATGCATTGTACAAATGATCATTTTTACTATTTACGTATGTGTTAATTAGTATTTGTATGTAAAAATATAGCTTACGGATATAAAGGATCATTCCATAAATAAGTTTTTAATTCTGTCACATAATTTAAGAATTTTGTAGGAGGATCAAAGGCACCAAGAGTCTTTGATTGTTTCTAAATCTGTTTTTATGTTACACTCTCATATTATCTTGTATATTTTTGTTTTATTATAGCAAAGTTTAAGGTTATAATTTTAACATTTTGAATCAGACATATCTTCAGAGGAAAACAAACAAAACTTTGAATTAGAATTTACAGATTTCTAGTTGAATTCAAGAGGAGGAAAATCTATAAACAAATCTATTTTTAAAGTTATTGTCATTGAATATCAATTATAAAATGGTTGCTAATAATCAGTAGATTCATTGATGATCTAATACTTATAACTGAATGATATTTAATTTTAAAAAATAAGATATGAATGATTAATTATTTTGCTATCTAAATTATAAAATAATCTACATATTTTTTATTAGATAAAATTAATAAACAGAAAAAATATGTTTTATATTTATAAATGAAATTAAACTTACCAAAGAAAGTGAAAGAAAATTAAATTGAATTAGGGATAAATTGTAGAGCTGTGACTTTGTGATAAAATATAATTCTGTAATGATTATTCTGTTTAAAACAAAATAACCTGTTTTCTTTCTTTTGATATTTATCAAGTTTTGAAAGTCTACGAAATGTTTTATATTATAAATTTAACTGTAAAACAATGAATTGTAGGAAATAAATGCAATGCAAAGAAGTTATATACAAGTTAGTAAAATCGTGACTTTTTTCCTATATAGCTACTGTACTTCATTTTAATTTTCTTAAAGAAAATATCCTTGAAAATAAAAGCACAGTAGCAAATAAATATGTACGTATAAGTTTCGCTGAATTTTTAGTTTCATTCTGTAATCATTTGTTATCTAGTCGTTGCATTTGAATGCAATTGTTAGCGATATTGTAATTCGAAAAAAAATTATATCTCGTTATTTCGCGTACTGGTAATAGCTTGATAGCCTGATAGCCGAGGCGATAAAGACATTAGTTTGTCGCTCTAGGAAAATATTTATTCTAGTTCGAGTAGGCTCAGAAATTTTCATGCAGGAATTGGTTAGAATCTCTAGATTGATTCAGATATGTCGGGACCAACATATGTCCGCTCTATTGTAGGTGTAACCGAACACATGATGCATATAATATATATAGGTTATATGAGGTATCTTAATGCCGAAAAGGTGGAAATAGTTTAAAGTTATATAGATTGTAACGCATTATAATTATATAGTTTTAGTATTCAGATTCTAATTATAAACCAAATTATTTTCATTTTCATTAGGTTTCTTCCCTCACTTTCTGTCCTAGGAGGACCTGTTTTAATCATACCCATCGCCGCCAGGAACACAATGGCAACGGCAGGATGGTAAGGAACAGGGTTTAACATATCCAGAANTATATTTTTGATAAAACAAATGGTTCATGATGACTTTATATATTATCATTTTAACAAGGCATTTTAAGTTTTCAGCGAAAGTTTAGTTCAAAGGCTTTCTTTCCCTGTATTTTATATAGTTCGAGCATTGTTAATGCATTTATTTATATTTTGTGGAAAACTTTTAAAACGTATTTCTATATTTTCAGTGAAAATAAGAAAATTGTCATTTATTAACAACGAACACTACGTAGTCTGTGCGCCACTATAAAAACTTTAGAAAATTCTATCCTCATTAGAGTGATATTTGTTTATTTGACTTGATTTATGTGAATTTTATCTCGATGTATAAACTTTAATGTTATTTATAACACCAGCAAGTTTTATCATTATTATATTTCTAATATTTAAACGCAGCAAATTCGAATTTTTTAACAACGTTCTTAACATACACTTTTTTTTTATAATTTATATCATTAATATACTTTAAGTATACAAAATATATTACTGTATCTGTAAAAATTTAACAACAATACTAATTACTCATTTCTAAGAGTATGAAAAATTATATTTTAAATCTATATTATATAGATAATAATATTAAAATATTATATACAAATTTATATATAAGACACACATTATTATAAATTTGAATAATNATGTATAAATTCTGAAATTATATATATTTTTATATTATATTTCATTAAATTTCTTTATATAAAAGGAATTTAACTTATGTTTTTAAACAATATTTAGTTATTTAATTTGAAAAAATAAGTTTATTTGATACAAATTTTTTAATATATAATTCACGCCAACTTATAGGTACTTAAACATTTTTTTAAAAATTAATAATTATCTTAAAACAAGCCTATGCCATTAACAGAACCTTGAATAAACTTTAAAAAAAATAAATAAATTATGAAAAAACTAAAACTATTTGCTAGTGACGAAATTCTATAAACTTAAATACGATGCTTATCATTAACGCTAAAGCGTGTTTAAAATTTAATTAATTTTAAGTTTGTTAAACTTATAATTGAATGTACATTTATTCACTTAGTCTTTCTTTGAATTAATAAGAAGTAACAAACGTTAGCACCACTTTCTAATACTGGCTTAAGCAGATTACACACAAATCCTTAAAAGAAAAATTCATAGCCATTGTAAAGAAACGAAAAGATGTTAAGAAACTTAATAATTCCAAACGAAATAATTCAATATTTACGAACAATGAATTCAATGAACTGTAATTTATTAAATTTTCCATTATTATTGCTATTCTATTATCTGACTTCTTAGCATATTTGAGATCGATTAAATCTAAATAATATTAGACCTTTAATTAAAGAATTTTATTCTAAATTGTTTTTTTTCTAAAAAGCAAATTTAAATAACAAAATTATTTAATGCACTTTATAAGAAACTTTTATTTNTTGCTATTCTATTATCTGACTTCTTAGCATATTTGAGATCGATTAAATCTAAATAATATTAGACGTTTAATTAAAGAATTTTATTCTAAATTGTTTTTTTTCTAAAAAGCAAATTTAAATAACAAAATTATTTAATGCACTTTATAAGAAACTTTTATTTTTAACGCGCGCGAATTGAAAATCGATCAGAAGAAACTGCAAATCATAAGACAAAATAAATAAAAAAATAAAAAATGTTACAGACTGTTAGCCTACGTAGAAATTTTGATTATTTTGCAAATTCCTCAAGAATGACAGTTAAGCAAGTTCATTGACTGATTGAAGTAACAAGAAATCAAAAAGAAATCAAACAATATATCAAATTCGCCTATTCGGTGTTTATTGCATATCGCGGTTTAAAATTTATGAATTATTAAAAAGAAATATAGGGTATACTATCTAGAAATGGCATAATATATTTGCCACATTTGATTTATGCATTTTCTTTTTTTTTTCTTTTAATCTCGCAATAAAATAAAACGATTCGTAATCTCGTTTAGCGAATGATGTGAGAAATAAATCAGTGTTTTTCTCTCGTCTCGGATGGCGCCAACGATAACGTTCAAGGTCACTAAAATTTCGTACGACTTGCTCGCATCATAAAAACACCTGCAGAGTACGCGTCTATAATCTGTAGACTATATAAGAAAGGGGCTATTTCCGTATCATTTGGCACCCCAACGGCTAACCTTGCCAGTCGAAACGTCCTACTGACTTGAAACTAAGCCAAGTTCCAGTAATCACATTGATTACATCACGTCCTTGAGTTAAAGCTTTTCTGTACAACACTCGACGCGTGAACCTCGTCGAGTTTAAACCTTCAAACTAGATCAAACGGTGACAAGGAATAATTAAATATATACATATATAAAAATTCGAAAGCGATAATTATATCTTATTTGATTCGGATATATCTTAGAAAATAAGTGATTTCGAAAACAAAATTGAACGAAGAAAAGTTAAAATATGATTTTTTTACTTTAAAGCTGCAGGTTATAGAAAGCAAAATAGAAAAAATAAAAGTTTAACTTTCATTAGTTAAGAGTTATTTAAATACCTCAAAATATATATATAAATTAATGCATTAAATGAAATTTAAACTATTTAATAAGCAATATCAATAATGATTTTCTCTTGCTTTTTCAAAGATCTTGTTATTTATAAACATTATGAAATTCGCACTTTGATTGTAATCAAAACGAGAAATTGGCGTTTTATTTGTATTAAAATCAATTACTGAATTAAAATTACGTTACCAATTTTATTGCAGAGAAGAGTATAAAAATTTTGTATTATCCCACCGAGGAATACTTTTTAATAATATTTTACTGTCTTATTAACTAGGTAGGATTTCAAGCATCTATTAGCAATGTAATTTGATATTTTGTTATGAAAAAGTATATCGAATTCAAATTTTATTAAAGAAGAAAAGTTAAAGTAACCAAATTTAAGAACTGTTCGTCCTTATATCACTTAAAAAAATCTTTCCGAAAGGCTAGCGATAGCCTTTTTTCTATAAACTTTATTTTAAAAACGAGATATAAAGTTTCCAACTTTAAAAAGTGTTTAGTTATATTTAAATTTTAACTCTTAAAATTCCTCTTCTATTGCTCTAAAATCGTAGAATTGTACAGCAAGAATTTGCCTTTATTTATAGATATTCCACATCTAACAACATGCTATAGTCTATGTAAAAACAGGAAACTACTAATTTTAAAATGGACTTAATGCGAGTTGAAGATTATTTTAAGCATTTTTTTTTAAAACAAAAGATTTATTTAGAGTTTAAAAAGTTTAATTTGCTAAAAATTATTTAAAATTAATGAGTGGTAAATAACTAATTAAATAAATAATCCTGCAATTCTAAATTAAGAATTGGCGCACAGCTTAAGGGCTCGATATAAGATATCGCTTTAAAAATATATACATCCTAATTTAGAACAAATGAAAATATATTATGTTAACAGTTCGAATGCAACTAGCACAAGGTTAATAAATTTTAGATGCATCTTACAGAAATTTACTTCAAAATTCAAGTTTAGATATCATTTGTGGAGAAATTTATAAATAATTCTTCGTATTCTAATGTAAAACAAAGTTTAAGCAATGTAGAAGCCGAAAGTAGGTTTATGCTAATTTATACAAAATTTGTCATCGTATATTCAGCGGCGTAAGAAATAATTTCATATAAATAGCATGGCATCAATTCACAATGAAATATTTGGCCTGATTTAACTTTTATCCATTAAGAAGAAGACTATACATGAGGAATGGAAACTAATCTTAAGAAAATGGCGAGGATTCTGATCAGATTCGAACTCAGATCGAAGGCATTAAGGTAATCTTTCTCCCTGACCACACACATTTGTATAGTAAAGGTTTAAAATTTCAATTTCGGGAAATATGAATCAATAACAATTTAAAACTGAAAAGTAATCGGAAACATTAATCTTTAAATTGTGAAGAACATTAATTTTCTATTGGAAAATTAATGTTCCTAAACGCATGCAGGTTCCGCAATACAGTTGACATATCCACTCTCAATATTACGTAACACATATTCCCCTTCAACCACCTAAATTGCACTAAGGAATAATACATAACACTGAGTACTGAACGTTACGTTATTTTATTAATTAACAAGTATAACGTACAAAGCAGTGACATGAACTTCAGAAACAAAAACGAATCATTCCGTTAGACGAGGGTTGGAATACGTAGCATTACGTAGCGTTTTTGTAACACCGTAACAACTCTATTGTAACGCGTCTTAACGATTTACTGCTCATCCATACTACGTTATGTAATTTATGGATAGCCCAATGTTGAATATAAATTTACAACATTTTAATATATTNCATATATATGAACAAAAATAGATTTTTGTGTTTAACTCATTATTATTATTATTATTATTTTCCTTTCAGATACAAAATTAAATTATTTGATATAGTTCTACGTTTTGATAATTAAATATGTATCTTATAAACTACAACTACGGTCAATCTAACGCTAAAATTATATTTTCTATTTTATATTTAAAAATAGTTTGAAATTTGAAATACATTAAGTATTTGCTCACAAATCGCTCTCATTCTTCCATTTAAAAGAGAATTAAATAAAGAATACAAATAAGGAAAATTTTAATCTTAAAGAAGCTACCACCGACTTTCATCCCATCTTCCATCTATCCACCTACATCATCACATTTATTAACCAAAAAATATATGGAAAAAAATGATTAAAAGTGGAAAAATTTGAAAAAAATGAAAATTGACATTTAGTTGAATAATTATTATAAGCATAAAACTTACAGGTAATCTTCAGATGGACGGTTGAATGGAGACAGATGGTTTGGTTGTCTACACAGCTCACAGATGAGATAGAGACATGTTTGAAGTGGAGATCGCGTCATCGCTCCTATTTATAGGAGGAGGAGTTAAAGATTGGCTTCCCAGTCTATGCGCCCACCTAAATCGAGAAAGTGGAGAAACCAAATTATCCTTCCATTTCCACAATTTATAGCCGGTAATTCGATTGACGGACTCTAGCTATTGCTATCTAACAAGCTATTCTTCACTTGCATTACTAAATCGTGTACAAAAGACCGGCTTTGGCTAGTGACAGGAGTCTTCTCCGCATGGCAACAGGAGGCTCGTCGCCACGTGACTAAACCATGTGTTTGCTTCACTTCGACGAAGTGTTATTTTGACGCAATCTTTGAGGACCGATCTCATTGGATGCTGAAAGAAACGGTGAAGGTCATGATACCGAACGGAAAAGTACTAGAACTCGAGGAGCCTCTGGCATAGGCGAAAAAGAAAAACGTAACTAAAATATATATGGATATTATATATATATAATAAGATTAAATATATATTAAATCTGCATTAATTAATCAATTTTATTAATATACATTTCGGTCGTTTGGCTTTGATTTGGATCGTTTCCAGCATTCGTTAATATTTTATTAAAAACCTTGAACTCGTCGAAACGATTTGGATTGATAAGTGACATTAGTTCGCTTTACAGTAGACATAGATGCTGATTAATAACTACGATAGTCATCCGATTGATTTATTCATTAAATATCCATTAGGAAAATATTATTTTATTATTGAAATCATTCAGCTACTATATTAAACTGAATTTTCCGAAATAACTGTCTAAATCGTGGTTATTCAAATTTTATTTATGTGTCAATGGGACGAGAAATTAATTTGCTAATATAAAGCTGTAGGTTTAGATATAAGCAAAGATAGTTTACAAGAATTTCATTCTCTAAAAATGAAGAGATAATTTTATCCCAAAGTAAAAACAAGGAAGCTTTAGTGGTTAGAAAAAACGAGGTCACAGAAGCGTTAGTTTGTTCGAAACTTCAGCTACCCTTCGAAAAATAAAGGATGCGACGTTATGCAACAAACACGTTAATTAAAAGCAATCTAACATCCTGAACCTTCAATATCCTGTTATAGAATAATGCTTAACAAATTCATCCTCATAACGTCAATGTATTTTTCGTCAGGAAAACTTTTTACTGAAAGATAACATTGGAATTTTTAAACTGTTTGGGATCATAAAACAAAAATTCTTCATAAAATTCTGCTGAATCATTGCCTTAATTTCATTGCCGATACAGTTAGAGTGTTAACGGTGATTTATTAAAGAACAAGACATTTAGGAAGAAATAGCTGTACAAAAACTGTATATGTAGCAGTCCTACCTAACATTACTAAGAATAGAATGGAAAAACTAGAAATAGCCTTTTGGATTTCAAAATTTTACTTTATTATGATTAAATATGATAATTCTCTTTAAGAATTTCAATAACTTTACTACTATTTCATAGTGTATGCCATTGTATTTTGATTGATAAATGAAAGGCGGCTTTATTTTTGTAGAAAGTATTGTGAGCATCATTCAGATTTAACGATAAGTAATGTGATGATAGAATGTTGTTTATATTATCTACATATACAGAAAACTAACACTTATCCAGAATCATCCATTGGCTGAAGATAAAGATTTCATATGAACCTTCGCAAAAAATGACCCTCGAGAATATTTTTTACATATTAAATTAAATTCTATGTTAAAAATTTTACTAATAAATAGGTTCATTTTTAAAATTCTTATACTAATTACGTATTAACTTGATGAAAATAAGTATTAACAATTCAATTTTTTATAACCATCTTTTATAACTTGCATAACTTAATTCATATTCTTAACTCTTTATATCTAATCATTTTTTTAAATTAATAACGATCATCTATGAAATATATAAATTCCATATAATACTGCAGCACCTATTCAAATTGGAAGAAGGGTTTATTAGTAAACACACAATAGTTATACATTCTTCGAGTATAATCGACATTGGCGGTGATAAAAGATTCTCATACTGCTATGAAGAATTTTAGGTTCGAATTCCAGTTAAAATCCTGATTTTCACGAATATATAAGATTATGATTTCTTTCCTAATCGTCTATCCATAATGACTGCACTGAGGGCAGACCAGTCCGTAATAATGGATAGCCTAATGCACTACATGTCCAGTCTTATTGAAGCGAACCGATAATAATAAGGCAAGTCATTATGTGCTGGATTTCACTATACAAATCCAATTCAACCCTGTATAATAGTTAAACAATTTAACTGTATTATATTATATTTAGTAGTTATAATACAATAATTAGAAATTGTTCAGTTCAATAATAGTTATGTATAAAAACAAGTACAGTACTTTGCAATAAAATACAATACTTTTTAGAATAAATTCTATGTTAAAAAGTTATACACTATTTGATTTAATGTAAAATAGCTGTTCCGTCATGTCCAGTATTCGAACTTCTTTAATGGCATCCAAACTGGTAATACAAAACAGCAAAAAAAAAAAAAAAACAATTCCCAAAAACTGATAAATAGCAGTTTAATGCTCAACTTTATTGATTTTTACAATAGTAAAAAAGTTTACATTTTAAAAATTATTCATTTAAACTATTTTTAAATATATAAACTTTGCAATATGGTTTAAAGCAAAAATTGTCGGTAAGAATTGTTCCATATACAGTAGTTTACATTAATTAATTTATCGGATAGTTAAAGGGTATTTAATTCGCGGATTATTAAAAATGATTATGTAACCAGTCTGATTTGTAAAGATTAAAAATGTAAGGAAGTTACTGTAAATAACCCATATGTAACAATGTTCATGAGAATAATTTGGAACACATTCCGAGATGGTATATCATGGTTATTTTTAAGCAGGATATTCAAATTTGCAAATCGATGATAATTAAACCATAAACGAAAGAGTTTTATTAATTTGCTTGTTAAATGAAAGTGACCCCTCCATTAATTTAATGATTGAAGAACAAGATGAATCGCTTTTTAATTATCTGAAACTAGAATTACGTTGATATTTTTTTAATCCTTCGGTTGTAATAGCTATCGGTGTAAATGAATAGTTTATTTATTTGTATGTATCCAAGTTGGCTCCATCAGCTATACTATACCGTGAATCTTTTTACCCAGATGGTTCTATTTCTGGTTTCAGTCGAAGTGACACACATAGATCCACTTAACGAAATTCGATACGGAGCCGGAAAGAATTTAATGGACATTTACTTGTTGATTTTAATTAGTATTTTAGAAATGCAAAAGAAAATTAAAAATTAAATTATGGGAGAACATATAATTGACTATTTCTTAAAAAAAGAAAAAACTAGAATGGGCCACCCAATAGATGTT